AGGCTGCCGGAGCCAGATCAGCCCCGGTGCTGCCCCACTGAGCGCACGAGCAACTGCCGGTGGCCTTGGTCCTTTCTGGGGACAGAGCAGGAGCGCTGGCCGCCGGCTGGCACGGGAAGGGCTGCGGGCAGTAGGCAGCTTCCCGCGACACCGCGCAAACCCCATGCTGCAGCGGGGCTCGGGCACAGCGCGGCATTCCCTTGCACACGCGCTGCCACAGCCGCAGCTCCTGGGACTGAAAATGGCACAAGGACATCGCTGTGGACTCGGTCCGGCACAAGCAGAGGGCACGGGGCAGCCTCCGAAACGCTGCACTGAAGCACAGCTCAGGGTCCCGCAGACTCACCTGTTTGGTGGCCACATCAGAGAGGTTTCGCAGGGTCCAGAGGCAGTTCTGGACCAGCCTGGGGCTGGAGCTGGTCAGGTGCTTGCCCAGGGCCTGCATGCCGCCTGCCGGGGAAGGAGACATCAGCACATCTGTGAATACCCAAAGCTGCCCCAGCGGAGAGGAGAAGGACAGACAGCAGGTCTGCGCGGCGAGCGTGGGCTGCGCACCACCCGACGGATGCCCCCAACGCACGGCGCAGCCTCATGGCTCAGCAGAGGCTGAAGGCGGTGCGGGAAGACAGCTCCTGCCCACGCACGGTGCCAGGAAAGCACCTCAGCAGCCCCTCGAGCACGACACCAGGCTGCACGCAGGTGGTCTCCCCCGGCTGTGCAAGGCATCTGCCTCAGCCGCATCGTCCTGACACCGCCGTCTCCCTCCCGTTCGACACCAGCTCTGCCCCCCAGCCCCTCTTACCAGCCTCAACGATAGCGGGCTTGTTGCTGGGACACACCGACAGCACCTTGAGCACCCGGCTCGTGGTCCAGAGCAGCTTCTCGTAGTTGTAGCTGCGCATGATCTGCACCAGGGCCTGGGGTCCTCCGTTGGCCAAAATAATCAGCTGCAAGACAGAAGGGTCGGGGTTGGGGCGTGCGGCAGCTCTGGGCTGCTGGGACCACCGCTCCGGTTTCCCCAGCTCATGCCAGAACACCAGTCAGGCAGGAGGAACAACCCTCGGCGTGTTGGAGCGCTCGGGGTCACCCCTGCGGGGGATGCGCACCG